GACTAAATCGTTCGGCGTGCCGGTTCCGACCCGGGGGCCGTACGTTTGACACCCCTGATTTTAACCCACCTGTTGTCTTCGTGTGCATGCAGTGTGCACCTGTTATTTCCTCATCCAGTTAAATCCATCCAATTTTTGTTTTTACACAATAATAGGTAGATTACAGTAACTTTATATCGAACATTCTCATTTGTTTTTCTCTCTGATATTGCAGGCTTTATTAAACGCACCACAGAAGTCCAACCCGGACCTACCATCTATTAAATAATTCTGGCTGGGTTAGACTCGGGTCATAAATCAAAACTCTATTCCCTGCTAAGTCAGCTGTAAAGTTGCTCAAAATATGACAGCTGATGAAGATACAGTTAATCTCATAGGATCCCTCTAAATGGTTAAGCATTCACTGAATGTTAGTAATTGAAAATATTTCAGTCCTACATAACCGGACAAGAAATGCATTTGTACCTCAGATGGATCCAGCTTTGGAGCTGCACAGGAAGGAGCTTGTGGTGGAGTCTGGCCGGAAGCTGGACAAGGCCAGGATGATCCGCTTTGATGAGCGCACCTGCTACTTCGCCTCTACAGACCTGGGCAGGACAGCCAGCCACTTCTATATTAGATATAATACCATTGAGGTAGACCCAGTTTTTAGTGTCTTTTGGATGTTTAGTCAAGTCAAGTTTATTTGTATAGCACATTTCAGCAGCAAGGCAGTTCAAAGTGCTTTACATCATAAAAGCATCACATAGTCACCAATTATGAAACAAGCAAAAAATCATGGCATTTTGACAAAAAGGGGTAAAAGATCTAAATCATTAAGCAACTACACATCAAATATGTTGATCAATGTTCCACTTGCCACTATTCAAAAGTTTAGGTTTACTGTGGAAAGCTGATGCATCAAACCGAAATTACTGCCAGCTTCTTTGATCTTAAATACATCCTGAAAGACCAGATGTAACTCCTCTAACTTACATTTCCACTTTCTTTATGCATGAAGACATTCAACGAACTTTTTAACTCACAGAAGACTGAAGCAGACATCCTCAGTATTGTGTCCAAGGCAGAGGAGTTTGATCAGTTGAAGGTAGGAGGATTGATGCTGAACTGTCTATTCATCTTTATGTGATAATTTGGAAATAAGGGGTGTTACTGACTTGACCCAAAAATTGCAAACCAAGATAAGCCAATAATATTTTTATATAACATGATTACAAGGGTGTAAATCCCATCTCATTATTGGGGTGGGAGACTATTAACAGGAAAATTTCTTAAGAGCAATTTTGGGGGGTCGGCGAAGTTCCATTGAAATGTAACGTAAAATGTGGTTTAAAAGTTTTTAAACCACATTCAAGCTGCAGGACCAAAAATGACTAGTAATGCACATCAAACATGTTTTCTTCTCAGTAAGCAGCCTGCTGAGAAGTAAAACTAAAATTAAAATGTTACTTGGACACGAGTTTTGTTCAGTCTGACTGTTCTAATCTCTGCTCCACCTTTACAAAAATTTAAGGTTCTAAATACAAAAGCTTTAATGAGTAACTCCTCTTAATAAAATTTCTCATAAACATTGATTTATTGAAATGGCTCCCAATACAAGTTATGACCTATTTAAATTATAACTTATTAAGCTGCTTTATTTTTAAGCCTCTTTTAGTTTTATCATGTCCTGGGTGACTGAAAATAAATAAGTAGATAGAAATGAATATCTGTGGAGTATCATAATTTAAATGTAACACTTAAAGCACGAGAGTTTATATAGAAAAATATTCAGATTTTATTTTGTGGTTTTAAAGGTTCCGGGTTGAGGCAGTGAGAAATAAAGGCAGCTTTCTGTTTTTCTATCTGTTCTCTCTTCTGTTCTTGGCTCCCACACAGAGCTGGGTCCACTTCCTCAGCCCCTCCTCCAGTTTCAAACTCTTCTAATTAGCTAAAATTCAAAGAGTTAAATATGAATGAGATGTTTGCTACCTTTAACAAAAAAGCTTAAGTCTATGAAAGCAGTGTAGCAGTTTTGCTAATACGGCAGCTTATCATGATTCAGTCAAAGTAATGAAATAACAAACTGCAGTCTTATTTTTATTGTTAATGTGTTTCTTCCCACTGAGCAGTGAAAGTAAATAAAATGTTTACATGTCTTTTGCTGTAAGTATTTACTTTCTGGAGGGGGGTTTTATTTGTGATGCAGAACTACAGCAACAGCTAGCTACTTCAGCGGCTCTGACCAGCCTGTGCCATTAGCGCTATAGACATAAATACGTAGACGCCTCATGGAGCGCTGAGTTGTACTTAACAGCAACCGCCATCTTCCATGTGGCAACAGAGGATCGGAGCTCCTTAAGTCCTGCGCTGTGTGTTTCAACTGTTTTACGAAACAAACTGGATTCATTGGCATTACCTTTTACAGGTAAGGATGAAAGATCAGAATTACTTTACTTTGCAGCCAGAAATTTGCTTCTAAACAACTGAAAAATATTTCCTATGTAGTTAAATTGGCCCGAAGTAACCGCTGATTGTTAGCGTAGCAGCTAACGTTTCCATACTGTTTTCTAATGAGAGCTGATGAAAAACCGCTGTTAGAGGAGAAGTTCATTAAAGATCAGGGGATTTTGTGAGGAAAGATCAGTCAGGATCAGAGCTGGAGCTGCTGTTCTTTTGTTTCCAGCTCAGCTTCACCATGTCGGTATTTAGCTGTAAAGATGCTACAAGTCAGAGCCCAACATGCTGAAAATGTCTTTTTCTGAATGTGAAGGAAAAATATATGTATTTTCTATTACACTTTTGGATCATTTTATCCTTAGCCTGAGTACCAGGACGTCTCAGAAGTTATTGGAGTTCTCACAGTGTAACCAGCAGACTGAAGCCCTGCCTGTGACCACTGTTCCTAATATAATAAATAAATGTTTTATTCTTTCACTTTTTGTATATTTTTAAATATCTGAATCTGAAGTACTAGTGTATTAATGCAGCTTATGTAATGAAATAAAAATTATTAAAAATTATTTACTCTGTTGGAATTACTTTTCACTACTGTCAATAGCAGAGTTGATGTAAACTGTAATAAATATTTTTTTCTCTGGAAAAAAGTAAGAAAAATATGTAGTTTAATGTTTGACAGTGACTGATTTATAAATCAAAAGTCATTTCCTCAATGATGTATAAAAGATAATTACAAGAAAATGATTTGTTCCTTGTCTTGAAAAGTTAAATGTACATTAAATTATGGAACTATGTAAATATATTCTTTAATAAAACACTGTAAAAGTGTGTCTGTTCATCAATGTCAATATAAAAATGATCAGAATAATTTCTATCAAATAAAACATTGTGCTCTTTATTCAGAAATGCCCCCAAAACAATTAAATAATCACATCAAAAGTTAGAACCGCTCTCTTTAGTAATTTCTTTGATTGCCAAATATATTAATGTGTGTGAGAAAATGTGTCAATGACGGGTATTAATTTAAAATACTTTGTAGAACGGCACTTTGTGAAGTTCGGTCCATTTACCTGTATTAGCTTACTGGCACATATTCCACATTCAATATGGCGGACGCTGTGACGTATCGCAGCAACGGGCCGACCCGCTCCATGAGGCGTCTACGTGTTCATGTCTATGGTTAGCGCTGCTGTCATAGACATGGACCTCATGGACCGCTCTCGCCTATTGTCGCCGACGAGATTTAGGGCGGCCATCTTGGAGCGGTACTCCACTCCACTCAGCGTTATGTGTTTAGCAGGCACAATGATGTATCAGTGCATTTAATCGATCATAACACGCTTTTTTTGTTACTGGAAACCATATTCAAACATCTACATTTATAAACAATTGTATTTTTAAAGTATGTTTTAATACATAGTTCAGCATATTTAAATATGCTTAGTGGCTGTAACAATAGAATAGGAATGGAATATTTTGATATTGATGTATGAAGAGCATAATAATAATAATAATAATAA